CAGAATGTAGAAATGGTATCGATACTAAAAGGGAGTATCGGTACCACAATATAGAAGTATTGATACCATGGTAGGGGTACCGATAGTATTGAGCCAGGAATTATAAGATAGGCTGAAATCGTTATAGAAAATTAAATAACAGTACTTTTGAGTATTATTAAAGTATAAATGTTAGGGAGTATACTAACATTTGGTATGGTATGTTCCTTTAATGGATGCTTGTGTAGATCGTAATCAAGCTCTCGAGTCAAGAAAACCAAAAGGCAAAGATAAAGTCGCTGAGTAGTCGGATTTGCATTTTTGATATAATAGTGAGAAAGGCCAGGTGAGTGTATTTATTATGTGCTTATATGTTATGATAATCATAGATGCATGTTGCTTAATGTATGTATTGCAATTATCGTATTGACACTATGTGTGCAACCTAAGAAATTCATAATAAGTTTATGAATTTTCGTATTGGCACTATATGTGTAACCTAAGAAATTCATAATGAGTTTATGAATTTTCGTATTGGCATTGTGTGTGCAACCTAAGAAATTCATAATAAGTTTACGAATTTTCGTATTGGCACTGTGTGTACAACCTAAGAAATTCATAATAAGTTTATGAATTTCTGTATTGGCATTACGTATGGAACCTAAAAAATTCGTAATAAGTTTATGAATTTTCATATTTGCACTGTGTGTACAACCTAAGAAATTCATAATAAGTTTATGAATTTCCATATTGGCATTAAATGTGCAACCCCACGTAATTCATAATGAGTTTGTGAATTACTGTATTGGCACTACAGATGCAAACCATAGAATTTATAATGAATTGAAATAGTCAAGTGATATTCAAATTGATATAATATACTCGTTGATAACTCTATAAAAATGCCATATTTAGGGCCTTTTCATTTAAGTTATTGATTGTCTAAGATCGCATATAGGATCATATAGATACATTTAGGAGCATATAGTTGCATGTAGTGGAAATATGTTTGTCACGACATTTTATTTTGTAAACGGTGATATGTTATATGGAAGGTTCTTGTTCGGTGATGTGCAAGATTTGGGATGAATGATAAGCAATAGGGAAATGCATTGACATGATGAGACTGCTGAGTAGAATGCAAATACCAAATCAGATGGCATTTCAATAGTGAACAAAACAAAAGAATATATTTTTAAGAACCATATGTCCTTATCTTCATGTGCCCTATACAACCAATCACCCGAGAGGAGACATCTGCCACCTGGGACGCCTGATGTTGTTGGGACCATACCCAGCTATAGCTGATTCTATCGGGACCACGCCCAGTTGCAGCTAATTCTGCTTGGACCACACCCTACTGCAGGCTGATCCTGTCTGGTCTACGCCCGGTTGCCTGGAGGGGACCACTACCACTGCTGCTCACCCGTTCAAGTGAATAAAGAATATTTGGGGTATCTTAGGAATTTTAACACAAATTCATAGGTTTATTCTCCCCTATAAATAAGAGATGGAGCCACTATGAGGAGACTTTTACACACACCGCCTTGAGCTAGAAATTCAGAGAGAAAAATGTCTCTCCTTTTTCCGCCAATCTTATTTGTCATGGCATTCCTCCATTAGCAAGCTAGAGGGGTGACGAGCTAGGTGTCTGAGAGGAGCTAGCGAGCTGAGGCAGTCCGTGGTGGCCAAGGGAAGCTCCGACAGTGCACGTCGAAGGCTTTTCCTCCTTCCAGTTACTCTTTTCTTTTATTTATATCATTTAGGTTGTATGGAACAAATTAATGTCTTGCTTTATTGCTTGGAACATTCGAACCCCACCATGAACTAGTCTTATTTAGTGGGAGTTCTTTATGGATATTTAAGTTTGCTTTAATGGACGGATGTTTTTGTATGTTGTTATCTGTTTTGTTTATGATGTTTAATGCCTTAAGGTTGTAGGAGCTATGAGAGTAGTCATTCCTTAGGAAATTACTTAGTGTTCGAGAGAATGGCTAAGTATCATGTCTTTAGTGTTTGAGAGAAACTAGGGAGGATCTACATAAACAAGGGGTTCTAAGTAGTAACTAGGCCTAATCCAACCTTAGAGATAAGGCTAGGATTTCAGTCGACTAAAAGGAGTAGTGCTTGATCAAGAGGTTAGATGTTAGTGTTGCCATTACAAGGCATTGTTGTGACTTATCCTGTTATCTTGACATATAAGATCCATGCACTAGCTAATGCCAATAGGTTTGCCATGACATCTTGAACCTGTCGAGTCCCTTAACTAGAGACAGTATATGGTACCCTTAGTAAACTCTGTCGGGTAGATAAGGCATAGAAGTAAGACCATCCTGAGAAGTAGACTTAAATTTCCTAAGTGAATCATATTATTCATTCACATAGTAGATTATTGTGTGAGGAGTCTAAAATCCTAATAATCAAATCCAGTATTTACAATTTATTTTATCTTTACATTTTCATTTGATTGCACTAAACACGGTTTAATTTTCCACAACATCTCCATTTTCTACCATATTACCATCATTTCATTTCCATAACATCCATTTCATCTTGCCACAACATTCTCATTTGTAAATAACATCAGTAACTATACTTAGGTGAAATAGTATTTTGCTGTGATTAAGCTTATAAATTTCCTCCAATCCCTGTAGATATGATACTCACTCATCACTGTATTACTTGTTCGATTGTGTATACTTGCACATATTTTCGCGACCATATATAGTAGTCACAATTCGCGGACACTCAAGTTTAGAATTTTACTTATGATTATTATGCCTCACTATGTAATTACTTAGCGCGTGTTAATTTCAAGCGTGTATTAATTTCAAGCGTAGGTTTTAATACAAGCAGAGTAAGGAGTTCATCTGACATCACAAAACAAGGGTCGCCTCATCAGTAACTGTACGACATCCTTATCTACTTTTGATGTATTTAGTTGGCATGTAATAGACCTAAGAACAACACTCTGAAAAGTATTTGATTTACAATGATGTAAAATGATGAAATGTTTGAACATTACTTTTTGTTTACATAAGTAAGTTTAATGAATGTTTTATTATTATAAAATTAAAATGCTTTATGAAAAAGAAATTTTTTTACGGGTTTTCAAAATAGGAAATGCTTTAAAGGTGATGTGATATTTGTGTCTCGTGTATGGAAACGTATACGGGAAATGGGTGTTACATTAACAATAGAGCAAAGGTTAGAGAAGAAGACATAAGGTGTGCACGACCGGTGCTTCCTCAAATCACCATGAATGGCTATAGCGTAAGCTCCTCTATAATGCTTACGCCACTTCCTTGAGCTTCACCAATGGAGGAACACCAATAAAAATGGAGAAAAGAAGAACAGTGGAGCGAATGGAAAAGATGATGATTTTCAAGCTTGTATAACCGTCCTCTTCTCTCTCTTATTTGGTGTCCTTTAATAACATAAATTGTCTAAGGATTTTCTTGGGATTTTGCACTCAAAATACCCATCATACCCCCAAGTCATTTATTGTGTGTGAAGTCTATTTCTATAGGTGGCATTGGATCCCATCAGGCGGTTACAGGAAGCAAACACGTGCCTTGACAACTGTCCTCTTGTGAAAATATCTTTTTGTTTTTTTCTGCACCAGAAATACCAAGGCATTGCAGTATGCTTCAGCAAAATGTGATGCCTCGACATTCTTTTCAACTTACCTTATGCTCATTGTTTCCTGCACATCACTAACCAACCACTCATTTCCCATCATATAGAACATTAACAAAGTAAAACAACACAACCACCACAAATGCAACTAAATGCAACTATATGCACCTAAAATGACCTATATGAACCTAAAATGACCTATATGAACCTTTAGACAAACAATAACTTAAGTGGAAAATGCCTTAAAGGTAGTCTTTTTACGAAGTTATCAACGATTTAGGTTACTATTTTAGATATTTAGTTTTATAAATTAAGCTTTTTAATTTAGGGTTGTATGATTACGCTTCAAGGTTAACATTTTAAGGTTAATGATTTACGATTTATAAGGATTAATGTTTACGATTTAGGTTAATATTTTAGGGTATAATGAATTAGGATTATGATTTAGGGGTTTGATATTAAAAAAATCCTAAATTGCTTTCCAAAACCCTAACCTTAAAATTGGAAATAAATTTATTTGGAAATCTCATCCTATATAACATGCCTCCAAACTGCCGTGTGAAACCCCCAAAGGCGCGTTGCGTCGGATGCTCCTCCTAGATGGTGTGCCACCTCAATTGAAACACTTGGAAAGCTCGTCCTATAGAACCGGCCTTCCAGTTGCGTCAGTAAGACTCGTTTCCTGAAAAGTGTCTCCTTACTTAAATTTCTAAATGAGTGCTAGTTTAGTAAATATTGGAGAATGGATACTAATGTGGTATATTTTTGGGTGATTTTTGAATAATAAAAACAATTTTAAAACCAAGTTACATTATTAATAAATAAATAATTACAATGGCTAAATTAAACATAATAATCTAAACCCTTAAATTAAAAGTAAATATGTTTAGCTATATTTAAATCAATAATCTCTTCGATATGTTATAAAATATATATACAAATCCAATTTATTAATAACAATAATATAACAAAGAAAATAAAATTCCCAATTTTTTATACATTGGTTATTGTTTAGTCACGTATCATCATCATTTTTTTTTAAATCTTACTTAATGTTCTATTATAGATCCGTTTTAATTATTAATTGTTAAAAATTATCAATGATATTTATGTGAAATTTTTTTTAATTTTTTTAATAATAACATGACATTATTTTATAATGATAAGTCAAAATCGTCATTAAATTTTTAACGATAGATCTCTAGAACAAAATGATAGATATGATTTTGAAAAATATAATAGTTAGAGTGAATAAAATTGAACCAAAACAGAATGTAGTTTATCCTTTTTGTTTTTTTCATTTTAGAAGGTCAAATTCGTAAAATCGATCCAAACTTACAACGGCAGTTTCACTTATAGCAAACTCTGTCCCTGTTTTCCTCTCCTTCCTTATCCTAATCCTCTCTTTTGCTCCAATCAGAGAAAAGAAGGAGAAATGGCCTCTTCAACACTCTCAACCATTTCTCTCCGTTTCCCTTCTTATCCTCCACCCACTTCCTCTAATCCTACGCATCCTCTCCTTTTCAAAACCTCATCTCTCCAATACCCTCTCCGTTCCCCCGCCCTCGTCCACCGCAGCACCGCCCTCCGTCCTCTCAATGCCGCTGCAGCGCCCGAGAAAATCGAAAAACTCGGCACCGAAATATCCAGCTTAACCCTAGATGAAGCCCGGACCCTAGTCGACTACCTCCAGGAGAAACTCGGTGTATCCGCCGCTGCTTTCGCACCTGCGGCCGCGCCAGTTGACGCACCCGGTGGTGCGGACGCCGGAGCCGCTGTCGTGGAAGAGAAGACGGAGTTCGATGTGGTGATCGAGGAGGTTCCTAGCAATGTCAGGATTGCTGTGATTAAAGCCGTTAGGGGTCTGACGAGTTTGGCTTTGAAAGAAGCGAAAGAGTTGATTGAAGGCTTGCCGAAGAAATTCAAGGAAGGGGTTTCGAAAGAGGAGGCGGATGATGCCAAGAAGCAACTCGAAGAAGCTGGAGCTAAAGTTTCTATTGCTTAGAACAGCCTTTTGAATGTTTGCTTGTTTGTTTTTAATGATTAATTTCCAGTACAGTAGAAAATAAACTTAAATTGTTAGACTATTGAACTTTGAATATCTATTTTTTCCTGATTAAGTCCACGTGGAATTTTAAGCCTTTTAGTTGATTAATTTCTCATGGTTGGGTGAACTTGTCTGTCAAGATGGCACATCTGGGTGTTTAAATTTGAAGTCTTTTTTTTATAGGATAAGTTGCAAGTTTAGTTCTCAAATCTCTGGGTTTTTTATGGGACAAGGATTCAAGTTTGGGTTAAAAAATGAAATACTTTTACGAAGGTTGGAGCTAAGTTTCAAAAAGGTTGTTCATTCCATCGAGTAGACTAGTGTTTTGAATTGTTGCATGGGATCGGATTTGGATAATAGTAAAACTCTAGTTTCTTATCTAAATGTGATATCTCCGGTTACTGTCAGCCATCTCCGATCATCCATCCATCTCTATAAAGGCATTGCGACAACCAATGAACAACGGTCAACACCGTTAATCACCCCGTTAGGAAGATACAGAGTTACCTTTCAACTGAGAGGCAAAGAAGAAACAGCCAATGGATCTTGTTCATAAACATAGCTAACCCTACCTTGAATTGCTTGTGATTTCATCAAACATAAAAAGGAATGATAACTTTAGTGAGGAAAATAATTGAAGTAGTTGATATGCAGTATCCAATTCAAAGCTGCCAGCAATTTCAAAGACTCGAAACTAAAAAATCCATCCCATTTCTCCAAACTGATTGCAATTTCGTTGACAAAGTACTCATTTCCAAAACCATTTAATTACGTACAACTCATTTCCATATATTGGTTGCCTATCTCATCACCGCAGATTTTAAACGACACGTGTCAAACATCCGTAAAAAAAGGATCTCCGCTACTTCTCGACTGTACGACCTTCGTCTTTAAAATCAAGACCAAACCCCTTTTGTCGTAAATCCCCAATCCTCAATCTTAAATACAAAACCCCCTTACTGTTTTCCTTCATCTTCAGGTAATTCTCCTTTATATCTGTTTTCATTTTTTTAATTCTTTGTGTAATTTTTTTCTCATATTAAATTTCTTATTTGTTTTGGATATTCTTTTCAAGTATGGGTAAGTGAGTGGTAGTGGGTATTTTGTTTACCGTTTTTTTCCTTTTAAAAATCTTTTTGTTGATTTACTTTTACCTATAATTCAGTAGTAAAGATCCCATTTTTTGAGCTTGATTTTCTTATAAAAGAAATCAATCTTTTCAGGGTAACAAATATGGAAGATTTTGAAAAGCCAACGAAAACCCTTTCTGGGGATAAATCTTTAGACCAAGATGCTAATGAAGGTTCTAAAGCCACTGGGTTTACTGTCCGAATTCGGAAAGCCATTGGAAAATGGTTTTAGGGTTTCCATAGATGGAAAAGAAGGTTCTTGTATTGGTGAAGACGGTGAGAGACTTGAGGATTCTGAAATGAATGGGGTTTCTTCTTTGTTACAAATGAAAGGAAGTGTTAGGAACATTGATGTTAATGGTGGAAGGAGTGAGAGTGGTGAAGGGTTTGGCACTCTTTTAAGTGCCGTTGATCAAAGTAAAGAAATTAATGTTGAAAATGTATTGCCAGATAGTGACCATGACGGCGAAAACGTGAACTTGGATGAGAAAGATGATGGTGGTGGCGAGTTTTCTTCTGGTTATTTTGTATGGGGTAAGATTAAGAATCATCCATGGTGGCCAGGACAGGTTTATTATCTGGCTGATGCTTCGGATTATGCAGTGAAGCTTTCGACAGAAGGGAAGACTCTTTGTTGCGTACTTCGGTGATAGGTCATTTGCATGGTGCCATCCATCTCAATTGAAGCCTTTCGAAGAGAATTTTGAGGACATGTCGAAGTTGAGTAGCTCTAAGAACTTTTTCAATGTTGTATGGGCTTCCGTTGATTCTTTCATTAGCAGGGAGATTGGTCTTGATCAAATCGGTCCTATGCTCGCTGCCTACCTATTTTATGTCAATGTTTAAGATTCCAGTCTCCATCTGCAAGACTCTCAATTCAATTATGTCTAATTTCTTATGAGGAGGAGTAATAGTATAAAAAATATTCATTGGGTTAATTGGGTCGAGGAGGTTTGGGAATTCGAAATCTCAACAGCATGAACAGAGCACTTTTAGGGAAATGGTCTTGGAAGTTTGCAAATGAAAGAAATTTTGTTTGGAGGAAATTTATATGTTGCAAATATAATATTCATTCATCAATGTTATTGTTTGACAGAAATAATTCACCTCAAGCTTCTTGGTTATGGAGATCATTGGTAAATAACCATTTCCAAGAAGACACTTTTGGCTCTAAGTTTCAAATGGTGATGGCAAGCTCATTCGGTTTTGGCAAGATAGTTGAGCTTCGGATTATCTGTTCCAGGTTACTTTTCTTTTTGATTTCTACAAACAAGAATGGCTAGTTATGTGAGTTTGGTAAATTTCGATCTTCGGGCTGGATTTGGGATGTTTAAGTGAGAAGAAATTTAAATGATTGGGAGCTTGAATAATGGTGTAATTTGATGAGCATCATTTCAAGTATCTCTCTATCTATCGAATACAGTGACGGTTTGATTTGGAAAAGCAGTGGGGATGAGATATATTCAGTTAGCTCTTGTGTTAAGATGTGTGTTTCAAGTTCAGAGGAGGTTCAGTTCTGGAAAAATATAGTTTGGAGGGGTTTGCTACCTCTAAGAGTGGAATCTTTTGTTTGGCAAATTGTTCTTCAAAAGTTGGTTGTTAAGACCGAACTGGTTAAAAGAAGAGTTTAGGGCATTGAGGATGTTTTATGTCCTTTTTGTAAGTTGGTTGAGAAGTCTTCCATGCATTTATTTTTTACTTGTTCGGTTGCGTGGTTCTTATGGAATAAATTTCTAAAATTTTGGAGGTTTAGTTCTGTTTTCTATGCAGATGCAAAGATTTTTCTCCTAGCTGGGGATGATTTGAAGAAAAATTCTGCTATATGGTCATTCATTCCTAGAGTTGTTCTTTAGAGAATTTGGAAAGTCAGTAATAATATTGTTTTGAAGGGGAAAGCTTGATCAGACAGAATTATTTTTCTTAGTAAGATTTAGGCTTGTTTCTTGGTTTTTAGCAAAGTATAAAGAGATTTCTGATCATTCCCTAGGGGGTTCTTGCTCTTCCTACAATATCCTGATGTTATCTAAAATCCCTTGGTCCCCTCCTCCTATGGGATTCATCAAATTGAATGTTGATGTAGCCACTAACAGTGATTGGAAGAAAAGTGGTATTGGAGGTGTTTTAAGTGATCATTCTGGTTCAATTTTAGGTTCTTTTAAAGAGTCTGCTGATTCGGGTTCTTCTACATTGATGGAACTTAAAGCTATTAAAAGGGGTTTATCTTTCTTTGTCTCTTTTCAAGGGATGGTAAAAGATCAGCTGATTATTGAGAGTAATAGCAGGGGCAGTGGACTGGATTAAGAATGTTGATTTATGCCCAGTGGTGTATGCTTTTATTGTTAGAGATATAGTTGATAAACTTAGAGTTTTTGAGGGGTTGTTAGATGGGTTGCAAGGACATCAAATTTAGAAGCTGATGTTTTAGCTAAGGCTGGTATAGGCTGACTAATATGTTGTTGTTTGCGGTTCTCATTTGGTTTTCTGGTTCTTGTAAGGGGTGTTGGTTTTCTGGTTCTTGTAAGGGGTATTACTGAGTTTTCATTCTGTTGTAATTTTATTTATGTTGAATGAAATCCTAAGGCACTCTTTTCCTCTTCCCGTTGATTAAGGATTTTTTTTAACAAGCTCCATTAATTAAGAAGGGGTTTTTAACGAGGCTTTCAAATCTTATAAAAAAATGAAATCAGAAGACTTGTGGAGTCGAAAATGACTTGCTCGTGTGTTCCGAAGGAGAATTGTGTCGGACTCGATAGACCTCTAGCAGATAATGCTGGAATAAAGGAAGGAGTTCTTGTTCCTGAAGGTGGAATTGAAAAGGTTTCAGTTGGTCTCTTTGAGCCGAAAGAAGTTCTTGGTAAATTGAAACAAGTTTCACAGGCTCTTTCGACTAGTAATTTGCTTTAATGTGCAGTGTTGAAGGGTTGGCTATCGGCTTATAATCGATCAATAGGGCGCCCTTGAATACTGATGGACCATGAACTGCTCTTGATTCCAGACACTGAAGAAAATGTTAGAACTTTTTTTTGTGGATATGGGTGATTATAGTGAGGAAGTGGTAAACCCAATCACTACGCCAGTGGAAAAAGATTGGATTTCTTCTTCGTCTGGTCCAAAATTTTGCCAAGGCATTTGGAGATTACATAGGATGCAATGCATCACAGGAGGAAACAGAAAAGCATTGCTGAAATCTTAAAAGCTGATATAGGTGTTCAGGCTCATAAGGTAACAAAGTCCACTGAACAAGCATCCTTTTATAGTAGGAAAAAGGTGAAAGTCGATGATAAAGCTAATGATGATGGTGGCAGTAATTTGAGCTTTGTACCAAGAAAGGGGAAGAAAACTGAGCTTTCAGGATCTCATGCTGAAACTGATGCCATTGGAGCCAAGGAAGAAATGGATAAGGATTATTCATCAAGAGGAAGGAAAATGAAGAGCAAACAAGCTAGCGATAATAACAGTGATGATTCAGGCAAAGAAGATACTAATACTGTCTCAGCTAAAAGGAAAGAAGACCCTAATACTGTCATTGGAGCAATCAGTAGGAATGACTCTTTTTTGAGAGAAAGGAAGAAAAGCAAGTACTTATCTCCTCCTTACACTATTTCATCTGGGAAGCTGAGGAAAATCAGGCTTAGAAGATGAATCCGTAGAGGCTTCCAATGACAACTGATCCAGAGAAACGATGACTAAAGCTACTGGCAATCCTGTTATCAGTGAAAGAAATGAAATCTCTGAAGTTCATGCAGAGCAAGAAGCATCAAATGAATCAAGATCTCTAACACCAAAACTGTACCTTGACCGGATAACTGATCTGGCAAAAGCTGAAACTCCTGCAAATGAAGTTCTAGTAGCAGTCAGTTCTATAGCTCTTAGTACACAATACCAAAGGGACAACGGCTCCTTCAAACTTATTGTGGAGTTTTATCTGCATTCAGAAGCTCAGTTTACCGAGATGGATCTGACTACAAAATGTATAATCGGCTCCAACGTCATAAAAAGAGAATCTCCAGACTTTTCGGCTTTGTCATCAAGAAAGACCTATCTACAGCTGGTCTGGTTCCCTCTGGACATAAATCCCATAAGAAAAAAGTTGGAAAGAAAGAATAAACAGAGATGGGTCAATACAAACCCGGGGAAGCTACCTGGGCATAACTGAAGAAAACCCAGAAACCAAAGCCGTATAAACCTAAACGGAAGCAAACTGTCATAGCTGCAGTTTTGAAGAAAAATGATAAGGAAGCTGATGAAGATAATTTACTTGTTGCCCTCTTTGTGACATTCGGCCCTGGATCCTCATTGCCTACGAAGGTTGACCTTATCCGAATATACAGCAGGTATGGAGCACTGGATATGGAGGACACCGATATGTTCTACAATAATTTCTGTTCTCGCATTGCCTTCTTAAGAACCTCTGATACTGAGGAAGCCTTCAGCAGCTCACAAAACGATAGTCCTTTTGGATCTGCCAATGTCAGTTTCCGGCTTCGACTTCACCTGACTGCATTATCTCAAAACCATAGGGAAATACCTACTTCCAAGAACTCTTCTCTAGTGGAGGATGGAATTGAATGATCAACCAGGTCATCGGCTCCCGGAAATTTGCAGCTTAACCACATCAAGAAGAAGCTCAAGATGCTGACATCGATGCTGGAGATATCTGATGAAAAGATGTCATCAGAAACTAAATCCAAGATACAAAGCGAGATAAAAGGGCTCTTGGAGGTGGATGATATATGTAGAAGTTCATGTCATGTTACATACATTGAGTTAGGAACTTGTATGAAGTATATAGGATAGTAGTACTTTATAGTTACCATTTGCATTTGATAAAAACTTAAAATCACCACATGCTACAGATAGCGTAAACTGCCCCAAGTTGAATTTCGTTTTCATGGATACAAATTCTTGTACTTTGAGCAGTGTGGAATCGGATTTTTCTTTTAAATGTTGGTTCTTTTTAGAATGTGTTGGATTGTGTATAATTTTTGAAATACCACAGTACATTATATCATTAAAAAGCTTATTCGGAAAATAAATGACATCCATATTTGCTTTAAAAAAACGTCCAGACGGTCTAGTACGGTGTTAGAACCTCCCTAGAGCTTTCATTGTATCGAAAATGGATTGGGAAGTAATTCAACCAAACATCATATATAAAGACCAATCTAAAGTTCTTTTTTTGCATACAACAAATACATCCACATTAAGGTATTTTACCCAAAACAAAAGCAAATCGTTTCTTATCGTACCAACATATCGAATAGCAACAGCTCAAGTATCAAGTCTATTAACAGAATGTTCAAATCAACAAATGGAGGGGGTGCTGAAATAGATTCAGTCATCGACTGGGTCCTGAGGAGTTTCATCTGATCTACGCTTGATTGTTACAACAGGGCACTCAGCATGCTTCACGCAGAACTCGCTCACCGTTCCTACAAAAACCCTGGCGAAGCAAATATAAATCAACTCACAAGTTCAGTTCGTCAACCAAAAAAGGCAAAAATAGAAGAATTAGAAGACTGAAGGCATCGGGTACCAGGCATACCTTTGGAAAGGACCGAGTCCTCTGCTACCCAGAACAAGAAGATCTGGTTGGATCCTCTTCACCTCATGGCAGATAACTTCCTTCGGATCACCTTTCTTGATCCATGATTCACAAGCAACCTACAATCAGAAAAATCTATTATCTGGGGAAAGAAACCACAAGTAAAATGCAGCTTTTGATTGAATTAAAGAATGAACATTATCTCAATCTCATGACAACTTGAGTAAAATGACATTTTTTATTGAAAAATGATAATTTATTGAAGAATGAATATTACCCCTATTTCATGGCACCTAGTTACAAAGAATTCAAGCAGATGAAGCCCTCTAGCCCTGTCTCTGTTCTTCATGCTCTTAAAATCGTCAGGAGAGGCATATATACTGTCCATGTCATTGAAACCTTGCATAAAAACAAATAGAAAGTAGCACATCACATCAAACAGCATCAGTTGATTTTATGATACTCGAAGCTAAACATAAAGCATACAAGATTTGCCACTCGAAACCAGTTTTACCATAGGAATTCATGTTTCAGTCTCGAAGCTTAAAACTCTTGACGTTTAGACATGCCATTGCTGTACATAAACATTGTATCTAAAAGGCTAGGGGTCCAATTCAAGAAAATTCAATCAATACTGCTTTTGAAAAGAAAATGCCTTTTCAAAGGTACACTTTAACATCATTATTCAATAAAAACCCTTTAGTATCAATTACGTTGACAGTGAACTTGCTGGTTTTCTATTTCTTAGTAACCAAACAGATTATTTTCTTAGCAACTAGCAACCAAACAGCATAACAACCTATTCAAGAAATAATCAATCAAATTAACATTTCTTAACCTAAGATCAGAAAATCTAAGTAATTTCAAATTCAAGCCGTGAATCAACAATCGCAGCCTCACACACTCCACAAACCCTAAGCAACAGTAACCACACGTGTATATAAAACTCATCATGTAAAATTCACTACAAAAGGAGATAAGAATAGGGAGAAAACAAAAAAGAGAAAGAGAGAAACCATCTTCGTCGGGAACTTGAACGTGAAGGAAGAGAAGCTTGAAACCGGAAGCGTTCGATTGAACGATCTTCTGAAGGGTCCACTCGAAAGCTCCTCTGCTACTTATCGAAGCGTGAGGGTAGCCTCTGATGGTAGACTCGTTCACAGCCACCATTATCCGAGTTACAGATGCCTCACTTGTCGCCATCTTGTAACTCACAACTCACTGAGTCACTCGAATCTTTTACTTGGTAACAGCTTTATTTTCTCTTACAGTGAATAAGCTTCACGATGTCTCTAGTTTCTCGAGACGCGAAATATGCTAATGTGAGGGTGCGCAGTGCGCATAAAGCGTACCATAATAGTAAAAAGCAAAGTGGGTTTGCTATTGTGCACCTTTGCGGTTATAATCCCCCGCGGCAGATTTGAAGAGGTGGCGGGCCGTAATATTTTGTCATTTTTGGGCTTTTATTTTATTTTTATCAAGGCAACTTGAGAAATGACTAGAATGACCGTTAGAGGGCGTTGGATAAAATAAACAATAAAGAGAAATAATTTTTTTCGGAATCACATGTTCAAAAGCTCTGTTTTGAAAATCGGACTGGATTGGTCGGTTTAATTGGTTTAACCGAAAATTGTTGTTTAGTCCGATTTAATATAAACCGGTTGAACCGCTATTAGTGAATTGGTCAGAACCGCTGAACCGTTCGAATCGGATCGGCTGAAAATCAGAAAAAACCGGGAAAAACCGGGATTTTTGTTTTTTGTTTTTTTTTTTAAATTAAACCAAACAACGTCGTTTGTTAAACGAGCCAAGTCGAACTTGAGTATTGCTGAGCTCAACTCGAATTTGAAAACTTTAAAAGTAAGCTCAACTCAACTCAAACTCACAAGCTAAAAATTATCAAGTTCAACTCAAACTCGAAATATAATATTGAAACTTGAACTCAAAAAAAATTAGAAGCTCGATTGAAGCCTAAAATTCGAGCTTGATTGAAGTGAAAGAATAGTTATATAATTATAGTTATATAATTTTGTTATGATTTTTTTAACCCCAAATTTATTTTTTATTATAGTTATATAATTATATTTATTATTTAATATGTTTTACCTTAAATATTATGTTGTAGTTAATTTGAATCATTTTGTTTCACTTGATTTTATGGTTTTTAACTTATATATGTTATGACTTGCTTTGAATATAACTTGTGATATAAAAAATTATTTTTTATTAAATATTTTTGGTATTTTTATTTAATTTTTTAAATAATTATGACGTCGTCCGATTCTTCCGATCAGTCGGACCAATTCGACCGATTGAATCAGTGAACCGATAATATGACCGGTTCGCTAACCGATCCGGTTCTGAAAACCATATTCAAAAGTATTCTCAGCAGAAGGTAATGGGACATTACAAACAGTGTTTTTCACCCTTTCAATTCTTGGAAATCGTATTCCCTTTTTCTTAAGTAATAGATAATTCTTTTTCATTTGAACAATAATACCCCTAAATAATATAATTTTTTTTTAGATATTAGATAATTTTCATTCATTTTAACAATAATACCCTTAAATAATATAATTATTTCAAAACAATCTTTCCTTTAATATATAATTACACAAATATAAATCTATTTTATTTAATTTTTGAATGATTTATGAATTTTTTTAAGACTTGTTATAAAATAATATGATGTATATAAAATAAAAATATATCAAAAATTTTATTTTATTTTGATTATTTTATGTATGTGTTCAATTTAAATATTATTTTTTGTATATATTTTATTACATGTATCATTTAGGATTACTTTTTGTAAAAAGTTTTTATATTATATTTTATTAATATTTTTTTATTAATTTTGTCATATAATTTAATATGATATTTTGTTTTTCAACTCTTACATGAATAAAAAAAAGTACAGCAATTAACACATATTTACACTAATATAAGTATGCACATCTCCAACCTAAAAATAAATATATACTTACACCGGTGTAAGTATGTATATATCCCAACCTAAAAATAAGCACATACACACCTGTGTAAGTATGTATATCTCCCAATATTTTAGAACCTAAAATTAAACACATAATTATAGTGTAAATATGTTTTAATATTTAAAAATTAAAAAATAGATATAATAAAAATATATTAAGTTATATGTGTACAAATTTTATTAAAATTGTATAAATTGGAAATAATAAAAAATATATTTTCTATGAACTTTCATTTCTTAAAAAAGAAAATCTATCTCAAGGATAATTGGTTAAAATATATATTTTTTATCTTATATTTCTTCATTCAACTATCATAATCTTATATTCCGATCAAATAAATCAAACAAGATAATATAATATTTTTAAAAATGTTAATCCTACCTTCCGTAATCTAAACGACTCCTTAAAAAATAAAATCTTCAGTGGGTTCTAGAAATTATAATAATAGGTGAGTATGGTGCATCCATCTACGTTGGGTTTATTACGTCTTCTGGAATTTTCTATATTACTTGTACCGATGATCTATTCTTCTTTCTATCCTTAAAAACTCACAAAAATCCTCAAATCCAATACTTTAAAACTTACGAAAAGTCCTAAAAAATAATACCTTGAGGAAACTTTGATGTGAATTTTCTTGTCAATCAGTGAACCCGTATCGGAATATGTTTTTTCATTGTCTCCTCCGTCCATTACTTGAATAGGAGGGGCAGCCGTTTGACAATAATAGTGATGATTGGTGATGACCGAAAATGTGACTTGTATCAATTAATTATTTTTTAACGATAAAGTCACTTAAAATAGTAATATTAGAACATTAAAATGTATAAAAGATATAATTTCTATATTTACTTTTCATTAAGCCTTGTATTGAAATCGAACCGCAATTAAATTATATTTATATCAAATTTGGGTTTGAATTGATAAAAAATCATGTATCATCAGGCTAACAAGCTGCTGCTGCCTTAAAACCCTTTTCTTCGATTTCAGTGTTAATTTAGAAAACACAAGGCTGTATGGTGGCAGCATGTGATGTAGGGCAGGCAGCCTCAGTCTCAATCATGTGCATTTGAAGTGATTTGGAATTCAAATATTTTTTCTTTTAATTTGGAAATCCAGGCATCGCGTATGTCGCTTTTTATAATTACATTTCTGCTCATTTGCTTTTTCTTTGCTCTCTGTGCCATCACCTTCATAGAGGGTGACCATATTCCAACTTTGCTAATAAAATCTTCGTAAAGTAAACCAAGTTCACTGTTTCAATATTTTATGACTAGTTCTAGTCTAAGAATACTAGGATAAAGTTGTGATAAAAATCAATTACAAAAGAGCATATTAAATTATTTAACTACATAAATCATAATAACTTATTTTAATTACATTAAATGTTATATTATGTAATTTCAGTTATAAATTTATAATGTAATTCATCAATATTTTATGTAATCGAAATATAATCCACGCCCAAAATTTCCCTACTTTATATCGCTTAAAAGTACACAAACGTATATATCCCAAAAAGAATTAACCTAACAACAAAGCAAAACCTGATATAAGGAGGTTTTTTCACCAAAAACATCATATGTAAATAAAATATTACTTGTCAGTCATCGTTTTTAAATATTGTCCGATCTAACACCTGAAAGAAGGAGGTGCATTCGGTGAAACACACTTTATGAGAATACGAAGATAAGACGTAGTTGGTGGGAAGCGCCTAAGCCGAAAACTGCCTGATATCGATAAAATCGTTGATACCCCGCTCATATCCCTGAAAGGCACATCCCTAAGGGCGCACCTTACTGGAATTTTCTGACAACCTTGAAAGACGCATCCCATGGATTGCGCCTTCCCCCCTCCCCACCCCAAACTTCTCCCTATTTCACCAACCCCAACTATATACTTATATAAACCTCATTCTCCAACTCACATAAATCACATCTAAATATCTCCTTTTTTTTTATCTATTTTCAATCTAGTAAGGTATAATTGTTTTTATTATTTTTTTTAATTCATTGAAAATTTTATTAATTAATTATTTTATGCAATTATTTTATTTTAGTATTTATTTTTTATTTTTTATTTGATTATTTAATTGTAAACTTATTTAGTTAATATTTATTATTTGCAATTAAAAAATGGAAGGCGTGTTGTTGCGATTGGATGCTGATCATATTTCGAGTCATTCTGTTGATATGGTAAGAATACGAAATTATATTCTTTTTAAATTTATGAATATTATGAAATTAATTATATATTATTTAAATTGTTAGAATTTATTTATTTTAATTTATTTAAATAATTTTGAAATAGTAGTTCAAATTTTAATGGTTAGAATTTATTTGTTAGGAAAATGATCGTATATTAGAAGTTTTTATTCGTAACAAGAAGATGAAAACACTGAGGGGTATCTGGCTATATTTGTATATGGTTGGATTCAGTTACTTAGCAAAAATTGAAGGAGTTTGTAAAATTGAACCCGCCCTGATTTCAGCACTAATTGAGAGATGAAGGCCAAAGACACACACGTTCTATCTACCATGCGGAGAGTGTACCATTACGCCAGAAGATGTTTTAATACGACTGGGGCTCCAGTAGATGAAATTGTCATTTTTGTGTGGCAAATGATGATTGGGGGGTCTATGTAGGGAGTATCTTGGGAGTAGCACGCGTCATTTCAATAGTGGCTGAATAAGATTAGGGTGGTTGGAAAATTAATTTAAAAAGTTACGCGAAAATTATTCGAAGGATGAGGAAAGAGCATTTTTCCGGGCATATATATTGCAACTCATTGGAGGGATATTGATACCGGAAAAATCTCAAAACCAAGTTCATCGTATGTGGTTGAGGCATCTGATCGATTTTGAAGTAGCTGATAAATGAGTTAGGGGTCTGTAGTGTTAGCATTTTTTTAGAGAAATGTGTCGGCCACGAAATATAGTAAGACTGCTATTGACGGGTGTCGTATGCTTCTCCAATCGTGGGCATGATATCACATGCCTTTTTTGTGCCCGATCGTGAATGACCATATGCATTTCCGTTACTTTCAAGGTATCAATACTAAATTTATTTTTAAATAATGTTTTTTATTATTATAGAATGGCATATATATATATATATATATATTAAATAGATGATCAAGTAATAGAAAAAATCATTGTGATATCCCATAAGAATTACAAAATATATGATTACTCATTGACCAGAAAGCTGGCGTAGAGGTATGCTTTTAATTTTAATTTTTTATTTAATTGTATTTATATAATTTGAATCTCATTTTAATTTTGATAAGAAATCTATATTTTTGTTTTAGTTCAAATGGTTGTCATATTTGGACGATG